GTTTTCAAATCCTTAAATATTATTATTATATTAATTAATTTGTCAGAAAATACAACAATGTCAATTAAATGACTGAAATTCACTAACAAAAGATTCAAATGGAGCATAAATGGATAGTCTGGGATCAAAAAAAGAAGAATCACCAACAAAACCAGACCTACAAATATAAAGAATTATTATTCATCTCTAAGCTAAATGCTTTACATATATATATATATATATATTACGATAGCCAGATAATATAAAATGTTTTGAACTAGAAAATACAACTATTTGAATGACTAGCTATAAGAACAATCAACTGCTGCATATATAAATAAAACTTTTTTCTCACCTTCCGTGAGTGATCATGACCATCCTCAATCCTGAGTCCTTTGTCAGAGGCTTGAAAGATTGAGGGTTCTATCTTACTAGTATCTTAGCTATTCCTAATAGTGAGCTCTTGTGGATAATTGTCTCTAATGTTGTTTCTGGAATCTGTTGAAATCATTTTTCCAGTTTGAGGACCATAGTTCCAAGTGCTTCAATTATCACTAGAATTACTTTGGCCTTCACTTGCCACATCTTCACTGTTTCCTATTTCTCTAACTTCTCATATTCCTTATTCTTAGCGTTCTTGTCACTTGGTATTACTATATCTATCACTAGGGCTAATTTTTGATTCTTGTCTATTACCACGATATCTGATTAATTGCCTATATTGTTTGTTTGGATGAATGGAAAAGTTTCACGGGATCTTTGCCTTATTATTCTCTACGATTTTCATAATCAGGAATCTCCCATTTAGTCTTTGGAGGATCTTAGCTACATACTCAAATGTTCTTGTATATGATTCCAGTTATTTGATTATGTTTTTCAATGTATGTTGTATTTTACATTCTGCCACTACGTTGGATTCCTTCTGGGGCTTTTTTGCATAATTGCATCTAGAATCCTGTCTAGTGTGGTAAATCCTTGTTTCGATGGATCTAATGCTTAATGTTTATTCCTGTGCTGCTATAATCAATGCCTCAGTATTGTTTTTAGTCCGGCTTTCTCCAACCACTGATACGATTTCACAATATCAGCTACCTCAGCTATCTGTTGATGGTATGGAAGGTCCTACTTTGCTATAGTACTTATTTTACAATTTTTGCATATGCTTCATACAATCTTTCAGCAGTTCAGACATTCTATCCTTTGGTGCCACTGATGCTGATATATACTTCAAGTTTCGTTCAAGATAGTGGCTTTTATACTCACCAAATCCCACCCGCCTTCTTTCCGGTTGATGTACAGTCTTTGGATATTGGACTTAAAATAGAAATTTCCCTATATTATGAGGAGGAGTTCCCTGGTCTTTACATCACCAGTATGACTGGCAAGGCGTATATATTTATGGCATAAATTTTGTTCCTCCACTGAACTGGCTGTTCGAGATTTATCTTGTCCTTTAGTGATACTTAGATTTTAGATTATCTTCTTTCCTCATCATGGTTACCATGTGACTATGGGATACCAAGGTACTTATAAATCATGAACAACATTTAATCTAGCAATACAAGATAGCTGCAGGATATAAAATGGAAGCAGGAGCAACACACATAACCATGTATGCAAATCATTACATGTAGGAATATATGCCCAGTTCAGACCCCTCCAAGACTAGAGAGGAAGTTCCTCATAAAATTATAGAGAATAATAAGGCGAAAATCCTTGGAACTTCTCCATTCAGACAAACGAACAAGTACTGACCAATTAACTATAGATATGGTAAGAAGGACAAGAAGTTAGAGAAATACCAAAGGTTGAAAGAGGAATTATAAATGTGGAAAATAAAGGCCAAAGTAATTCCAGTGATAACTGGAGCACTCTGCCCTTAAACTAGAAAAGTGGTTTCAGCGAAGATTACAGGAATGCATCAGAGATCTCTGTTCAAAAGAGCGCACTGCTAATAACAATTAAGATATTGCGCAGAACCCTCAATCTCACAAGCTTCTGATGAACTCGAGGTTGAGGATGATTTTTAACCTCACATGTGAAAAAGGAATATTTTTTCATTAAACGAAGATGATAGACATTTAAAAAATAATTTTTATAATCTATAATCTAAAAAAATGGACCGGAAATGTGGAAAAATACGCCTCTGTTCAGAATTGCGAAGTAAATGGAACAATTACACTTAAACAAGCTGAATGAAAAATGGACAGCATACGTCTCTGAATCTTGTGAAGCATTCTGGACATACTGTAAAACTTGATTTTTTGTAGAAATACGATTTAAATGACCGTATTTGTTGTCACCATCACTTTCTGTTTTGTCCATACCAATTATTCTCAATCGCAGACATTCTTCAATAATCTTAGAAGTCGGCACTTCCTTCTCAAACTGTTTTCAAATCAGTAAATGCAAAAATTATGAAGTAATACTATTATTTTATTTTACTTTCAGAATATGAGGCAAATGAATCTAAGTTATCATGGTGACATTCCCTCCTAGAAGGTAAATTATTTCGGAGCAAATGTATAGAGAAATAGTACCTTTGTCATCCAAATGTGCATTTAACCAAACCAGAAATAGTAAAGAAAAGTGAGAAGAATAAGAATTATTCAGTGAAAATGAAGCTTTTCAAATATAATAAATATATATTTTAAATGTAAATATAATAAAATTTACTAATAAATTTAAAATTTATTAATAATTTTGCATAATTACTGAATAGCTTTTCATCATCAGCAAAAAATACCTTATAATCGATGAAAAAATCCTGATCGTCGGAATACGATTCTTGCTCTTTACAATAAACGCTGAGCGGCAACCAACTTGGTTTTTCGTCCCTTAAAATTAGTCAGACCATTTCAGTAGAAGGAATCAATTCATCTGCGAATCAATTGCGACTATAGTTCCTAATTGTACTGAAATGGTGGTCCTTTTTTCTACAATTGCTTATGTGTCGAGTAATAAAAAGTGCCAAAGAAACCACAAACTATCCTAGGCAGCCGCTTCGGTTCAATATAATAAATATAAATATGTAGCATATATGTAGTAAATATGTAGCAATTCTTAATCTTGCTAATACAAAATATATAATACACAAAATATGCAATGTCAAAATAATAAGTGGTTAAGGGCTGCCAACCGATAAGGAATGGAAAATACAGATGATTTGGTTCGAATCGTAGCCAAAAACTTTTTTTCTGGTGGAATCCTCGGGCAACTCTTAATGCACCTCTCTCAATATGAGAATATCGCATGCTAAAGATCGGCTCGAACATCGCCCAGATTACCAAGGTCCCCGCCAGATGTTGATGGACTATCTAATGACAAGTGGACTACTAGTGGAAACAGTTGTGAACCAAAGTAATCTAGCGTTAAAAAGTTACTAGAACATCCGGATATCCGAAGATAATATCCGGATGGCTCATACCGCTGGCCACAAAGCTAATAAGAACATTGGAGAAGCAGAGGCTAAAATGATAAATATCTTCCAAAGAATTAAGGTGCACTCCCAACTTCAATGCAGTAATATGGTAACAATACAAATCAACAGCAGAAACTATTCAATACTTGAAGAATATATGGGAGAAACAAAAGATTCATAATATTAATGGTTGCATAACAAGATCTGGGATCAAGTCACAGCAAGAACCAGTTACCATCAGAGTTATCCAACATCCAACAGCAAGCTCGGACATGATTCACACCTACTGGCTAAGGAGCCTTAATGACTTAGATAGACCAGCTTCATGGTAATCACAATGAGGCAAGGAAGGTTGCAAAATCTAAATATTACCAAAGGGCAAGAGAAATAAAGACAAGCCAGCTCAAGGAAAAACAAAATCCATAATATAAATATGTATGCCCTGCCAGACATCAAGCTTGTGTTGGAAGATGGACAGAATTCTTAAATTTACTTCTAATTTTCTTCCAATTTTTTTATTTGGAGTTCCATTTGAACGTGCATTATTATATGGAAAATAAGTAGTAAATATTGATCCAAAAAATAAAAAATCGAAACGAAAATACAAAACTAATATATTCCGACAAACCTCCTCGATTTCTTGCAGAGTCCGGAGCGATACTCTGCTGTAAATTCATGTTTTATATAATCCATCAGATCGTTTATTTCGAAGAAAGCCATGAAACTTGGCAATCAAAGTGAAAGAAAGCGTGAAACTTTGAAAGAATTAAACCGCCACTGCAAAAACTGCAAGTGAAAAAGCATACATAAAGGAACGAACCATTTAATTCTTACGCTTGAATTTTTCAGTTCTGACCTATTCTTGATTTATTCGCCAACAGATTGGAATTCCTAATGATCTGTGACTCATTAACTCTAAATACCATCTACAATTTTTCATTTATATACATATATTTACATTCATATCTGCTTTTATTTCGATGGTAGCACAACGTCAATCTAAAAAATCGAAAAATCCAGTGAAGTCAATTTCTTGCAGTGGCTGTTCCATGTATTTTAGTTTCAAAAATAATTTATAACCATGATCAATCTTAATAATTGTCATTTTCTTTTCGACAAGACAGGATCATTTCTGATTTGGCTATCTCAATCGACCATCAGGATAAGGACTTTTCTGAGCTTCAGTTTAAATGATCAGTTTGTTCCAATTAATAGAATTCGAACTTTACCGATAATGAAATGATTACAACGTTTGTTATCAAAGAAATAAGTTCAACGGTTCGGAAATTTTTATAACAATTCCATAATAATTGTAATAACCGAAGGATGATAAAGTAATTACATAAAATATAGAAAATAAACAAAAATCTGCAATTCAAAAACGGAAAAAACAACCGAATTAAACATTTGTACGCCTTGGTACTCAGTAAAAAAATGTGGGGGCAACACAATTTTAAAGTTATGATCGAATGTAATCTATAACCAGTAAAATATTAGCAGAATTTTCCCAAATCCAAATCAACAAATTAATAATAGATATTTCCTCTAAATATTCCAAAAGAGCTACCTCTTTTATCAACAAGAAAAATAAAAAAAAGTATCAATTACCATGAGGTAGCACAACTAAACGATTATTAAAGATATGAGATGGGTTCGTGAAACGCCGACGCAACAAGAAGTGAACTGGCAAAATTCCTAATAGAATACCACCAATTACATCAGTCGGAAAGTGCCAATAGTCCGTTACTCTCGTAATCATCACCACAATACTCCATGGAATAAATATAAACAAAGAGATCATTCGAATACGACCAAGTAAAGCGCTTCTCGAGGCCGTTACCATTCCTTGAATGAGATTTTTATCGAAACGTGGGTTGATATTAGAAAAATTTACTAACAAAACAAAATTAAATTACGAAAGGATTTAGAAATAAAAAATTATTTTTTTCAAAAAGAAAAACCTAACAAACCTGACAAATAGTAATAAATGAATAACAAAAAGTGAACAGCTGCAGCAGAGTGACCACTAGGAAAACTCTGACGAGAAATTCGTATACGATGGCTATCAAGCGATGTGCAATATGCACCTTAATTGTATAAATTCGTAAATTTTTAAAACTATATTATGGAAGGTTGGTCAGCCAAAGTAACTGAAAAACCTTTTTCGAAATTATTAAAATTATTTACTTGGTGAAATTATTTATTTTACTTATGTAATTAATAAAAGACAAAAATTTTAGAGAAAAAAAGAATCAAAGAAAAAAAAGAATCGCAAAATTTTAAACAAAAATACTGGAAAAATAAAAAAATATTTTTAGTAAACTTTAAACTTTTTCAGTAAACTTTTTAATGAAAATGCTGGATACTACTTTCTATAAATTTATCTTCAGAGCTGCAATCGATTAAGTCCCAATTTGGTTGACAAACTGATAAATAGTGTGGCCTTAATCGAGCAAAACAGCATTTAATCGCCTGAAAAATCAGGCCAATAAATTATTGAAAATATTTTTGTAGAAATTTTTGTATTTATTTTGTACCACATTTTTTTTATTGCATAAAAATTCTTATCAATCACATGACATTCTATCGCTCATAGAATAAAATACATAGAAAAATCACCTCAACAGAAAAAGTCGTAATGGTAAACGACAGTATAAATTCCAGATAAACGTGAGACACTGCCGAAAAATACTTTGGTAAAATACGCGTTTCTGATGAGCGGAAGTGATGAAAAAAAATTCCTTCAACTAAAATAACCAAAAAAAAGGGAAGAGCTAAAGTAATTGCAAGAAGATGTCGAGTTGAGACTGTGTGCGGCAAAAACGGATTATTGAGATGTTTTATCTAAAATTTTCAAAAAAATGATTCATGACATTTAATAAAACACAAAAGAAAATGGAAAAACTATGTTAATGATATTCTGTAATCAAAAAATAAGTACTGGTTATATGAATGGAAAAAAATTATTTACGAAATATAGAAAATTATATATAATCTTGTCTTATTAATTCGAGGCCTGTTAGTAGTCAAAAATTGCAACAAACAACTAAAAATTTTTTTTTTTCAGTCTAAACCTATGAGTTTCGGAAAAATGAGATCATCAGACAAAATTTTCCCTAATCAAGGAATATCAAGTAAGTGACCAGATGAATGGATAAAATGCCAGAAAAAGATTATCGATCCGAAGAAGATTATCGATCTAAAGATTATCGATTATTTTGCGATTCTTTTTTTTCTTTGATTCTTTTTTTCTCTAAAATTTTCGTCTTTTATTAACTACATAAGTAAAATAAATAATTTCGCCAATGGATAAAAGATTATCTTTGCCAGGACTGAGTTTTTGCTATCCTCCTGGTATATTTTCAAAAATGTCGGTTGAAATTAACAAGTCGCCAGTTATCTGTTCAAATTCTTTACATTTTTATATTTTATATTTTTTTAAACTGAAATAAATTTATTCGAATTTAAAAAAGGATACAAAAGTGATGCAAAGCTAATTCACAATTCATTTTTTCCCAGTCATTATATCAATGAATATTCTAAGTTGCTAACGGCAACCGATGTAAACTGAATCGTCATTGGAGGGTGAAGAGTGATAATTAAATTCTTTGAATTTCAGTTGAAATAGATATAATATTTTAAATATAAATAATATTAAAATATAATATTAAAATTTTCTTTGTTCTACTGCAAATATTTACTCCATTTGAAATGAAATCGTTTACAACCGTTTAAAGGATATGTATCCAATCTTATTTTCGCTAATCGTCCTCTATTGTTTCATACTTCTTCGATAAAGTGTTTCGAATAAATAAAATTAGACTAATATTCTCTAATATTTATATCTAATAACTCTAATATTTATATCTAAATTTAAATATTAAAATCTAATTTTATTTGCGTGTAATATCTAAAAAGTTTTACTGGAAAATAAATTCGATTTTTTAAAGCTATTTATTGTAAAAAAATCTATTAAGCCTTTATAAAACATTAAAAAATAAAGCACACAAACGAAGTATATAAAATGAAATCAAAAGAATTAAATATCAGAATAAAAATATTTAAATATTTTAGATATTCCCATTAAAATTAAACTGAAAATCACTTTTTCGAAAACTACGACTGAGTCAAAGATATTATAAAATCGACTTAAAAAGGCACTTTTTGATAGTTTTCTGTGGAAAGATATTTAAACAATCGAATACTGCCAGCACTATTAACAGCTTCTAACTGTTAAAAATAAAGCACACAAACGAAGTATATAAATTAAAATCAAAAGAATTAAATATCAAAATTAAATATCAATTCTCATCTTTACTGGTTAGACTGGTTCAGCTGACTACAAGGTTAAAATATCTCCAAGCTATGGTCCGATGCCATAATAATAGTGATAATAGATTTTTTCATCGTCTAAGCCCATCTATCGCTAGTCCCCCTCTACCTTCAAAATCTCTCCTGACTGTATCAGTCCAGTTTTTGACCGGCCCTCCTCGCTTTTCATGCCATCCATCACAGGATTCAGCATGTAACGAAATATGCGTCACATGGTGGGCGACGGAGAAAGTGCCCTAACCAGTGAAGGCGACGCTCTGTGATAATATTATTAATGCAATTTTATCTGCTCGGCGGATCCGTAGAATATACCTTAGACGTGAGTGGTCAAAAGCTAATAGCTTCTTAATATCTTCCACTCTCATTGGCCATCTTTCGCAGCCATATAGCAAGATCGAGCAATTGCAGCTACATGGATGCGGATTTTCGTCTTCGTGGTGATTTCGCGATGCTTCCATAAAGGTTTCGTCAGCCGGGAGAATGCATTTCTAGCTTTGTTATCTAGGTTGAAATTTTACCTTTTGCCTATCATTCGGTATTAGAGTGGATCCAATGTATTTAAGTCGACCATTTCCGAGCATTGCTTCTGATTTTATTAACTGCGGTAATTGGGAATCGTAAAGAGCGATGCAGACGATCGAGATTTCTTGCAACGAACTGCTGTCGATGAACTACATAATGGAGTGAATACAGTTGGCACCGATTTTTTTCCAAATTTAAAATGAATCTACATGGAAATGATAGATTAGGTTATAGATATCGCTTCCTAGCAATCATCTACACTAATATTATCACAAAACGTCATATGCGCTGGTCTGGCCATGTTTTTTATCGCCCATCACATTTATCTTTATCTTGCTACTTGCTAAACTTTGCTGTAACTGATAGCGCCAGATGCTTGGAGGACCAATTAAGAACTGAAACTATACGATCAGAGGAGATTTTAAACACATAAGCGAATATAAAGATTGGGTGTTGGAAAAAGGTCAGGATTGACATCAGGCCAGGAGCATTGAAACCATCCCTCATCAATATTAAAGCGAGAAGAAAGAAAGAAACAAAGTCCAGGTAAGTTAATATCTGATCTTATAAAAAACTCAAACAAAACTTATAAGAATTGATAAGCAACTATGAAATAACTTTTGGCTAATTTCAGTTTTACAATGATAATATAAGAACAATGGAAAAAAACTGCTGATATTTATCTAATCTCCTACTGGAATAAACTGCCAAATGATATCAATTTTACACGTTCTTTTTGCGTAATCCTTTTATTCGTAAAATCACTTACTGGAATAAATTACCAAGCGATGTTATCTTCACATCGTTTATGAACCGTTTCAAAAATAAGTTAAAGCTTTGCGTTCTAATTTCTCATATGTCCGCTGATTTCTTATAATTATTAATATGACTTCACTTGTCCTTTCTACTAGAATTACTTTATCCTCTGCTTATTTATACTCTATTTGGTTTTTCCTTAAATATAGCACAAAGCCCTATAATGCCACTTGTTAGGTGAACATTTTGAAAAGAATAAGCTAACATTTTTTCGCAACCTTATCAGCGAAATTTGCTCCTAAATTTGCAAGTAATCCCCGCAGGAAAATTGCCTCCCCCTGACAAATTTTAAAAAAGTGAACAGACCTCGTAACAATAAAAGCCTCGTTCGTACGGAGCGGCGACACTTCGCATAAATTCGAAATACGCGAAAATTGCGATGCTAAGTGCGACCGATATATCCAATAAAACAGCGACAAATCCCTTTATCAACATTTTAACGATTTGTTTCGATTCTTTTTCGTTATTCGACGAATCATTAATGTCGCATAACCGTCCGCTAAATGTTATTCGCCGCAATAACATTTCTTTTTCCCTTTTTAATTCTTCCAATCTTTGATGAAAAACTAAAAAAAATGAAAATGAAATGTTTTGATTTTTTGGAAAAGAAACACTTATATTTACTTAAAAAAATGTCGAAATACATACAGTGTTATGAAATTCGTTTCAAGACCAAATAATTTGAAATTTTAAAAATCGTAAAAGAATTATTTGCTTATCAAATCGCTCTCTGTTTGAAATTATCTTACAGTTAAGCAAAAATGGTGTTGATGGTACCTTCTAACCTATTCCCCATTTTCCGATATCAAATTTGGAGTGTACGACTGAATCTTTTGAGTCTATTGATTCTTCTTTTGGTGCCAGATTTCTTTATTAGAAATTGAAACGGGAGGTGGCTGGGGGGAGGGGGTAGGGTAGAGGGGTATTGGAATCTTTCCAAGTAATAAGCTATACAAGCTAAAGGTCATGGCAAAAGAGGGATGCATTTTCATGGAACTGTACATAGTTCGCGAAATTCACATGTGATATTTATTTAGCTTCATTCTCCTTTTATTTTATTAACACTCTGCTGTATTTGTTTCCTTATTTTTTTATTTCGAAACGAGAATAGAGAAGCAACGACTGTATTTGATTTCCCTTCAAAATTAGCCATAGTTGATGAAAAAATTGTTTCTCCGAATTATTTGTTCCAGCAATTAATGAAAAACTTGTCAATACATCTAATTGTCCAAAATAAGTGCCGTTTCTAACTTTCTTGGCAAAATGCATTAAAGTTTTCATCATTTGGTCACCATTTCGAAAAAATACGCTTTATCATTCTCCATGTCATAATTAACTATAAATTTTTGCACTTATTAGGGCAACATGTTAAGATCGCCACTAGGTATAACACCACATTAGATGTTGTGTTGGCTACTTTTACTTTTCTTATTGGTAGCATTAATGTGCTAGAACCTTTCTGTAATAGTAATCACAATATCATGCATGCTTCATTAAAATTAGACCGTTGTATACCTTCCTCGAGATTTTTTAGAAATTACCATTATTGTGAATACGAAATTATTAACTCTATCCTTGATAAACTGGGGACGGAAATAAACTGGGATTTCTTGTTTTGCATTTCTTGTTTTCATTCTATTGATGAAAAAGTTAATTTTCTTAATAGCATCATTTAATATTTTGTAGAGCAATATATCCCTTTAAAGAAAAAAAGCGTTAGGTCATTTCCATTTCCCCAAAATTTCTCCAAAATCTCTTTAAAAAAGTATCAAGGACCTTTAAAAATACAAATTAACCAAATTGCCAAGGGCCTTCTCTGCTTATAAATAATGCTTTAAAAGTTTCCGTACCACTTTTCCGTACTTTTCAAATAAAGAAGAATAATTTTTAAATGTCAATAGAGGAGATTTTTTTCTGGACCTAAATTAAAAGAAAATTTGCATACCTACGTAAATAATTTTGCAACATAATGATAATGTGATTACCTCTGATATCGATATTGCAAATGTATTTAATCAATATTTGTATTTGCTGATAATAATAGTATTTTTTCAAAGTAAATCGAGTTTGTTGCACTTCTCTCGGTGAGGTTGAAATAACACTACTGGATGTTTATGATGCCTTAAATAGACTTAATGGTGCCCGATAATATTCCACAAATTTTTTATAAAAAATGTGCAGTCTCTCTGAGTTTTTCCCTATTTCTAATTTATAAAGATATTATGAAATCTGGCCTTAATTCCAAAATTTGGAAATTATTTCATACCATATAATTTCCATTCATAAAAAAGGAAGCACCTGTGATTCTTCAAATTTCAGACCTATTAGAATAACATGCGTTGGTAGCAAAGCACTGGAAAAGTTAATTTGCAACAAGTCGTTTATTTATCTTAGTGCCAATAATTTAATTTAATTTAACCGATCAGTATAGCCTTTGTATTGAATAATCCACTTTTTCACAAATATTGGCAGATCTTTTCGATCAGTCAACATCAGTTGATAAAAATAGTATAAACCATGTACTTAAATTTCGCAAAAGCATTTGATACTGCTTTCCATAGAAAGTTGTTGTTAGCCACTCTTAATAGTTATGGCATTACAGTGACCCTTTACAATTGGGTGTCAGATTACATAAAATTACATAATTACAGATTAGGTGTCAGATTACATAAAAGATTACATAAAGATCGTCACCAAGCTGTATGTGTCAATAACATTCTTTCTGATATAACACCTGTTAAATCTGGTGTTCCTCAAGATGTATTGCGCCATTGCTTTTTCTATTATATATAAATGATATCACCAATGTGATGCTAATTCTATCATTCATCTTTATGCTGATGATTATAAAATTTATTATTCTTATGGTAGATCAAAATCACTCTCCACTGTATGATGACGTCAATAGAATTGCCAACTGGTTATGATAGGCAAATTATTTTTTTCAAAAGTATAGCGTATAAGTTCGATTTCCCTAATTTTTTTGTTAATGATAATATAGAAATTTCCGATCTTGACATTAATGAATGAATGAAAATTTTGACCTTCACTGCAGAATCATAGTAAAGAAATCCTCGAAAAATGTTAAATTTTAGTCTTTTCGTTCGTTTAAGAACATAACTGAAGGTTTTCTATCAAAATGCGTTGGTTCAGTCTTTTCTTGACTATATTACAACCTATTACTCTCCGAGATACTGCAAACCAAGAAAAATGATTGAAAGAAATATTTTATACGCCGCCTCTCTCCTAATAACAATTTTAATTATAAATCACAACTTAAACAATACAACCTGGATTCCCTCTAAATCCGTCAAATCTGTCAAATTAAATAAGATTTAATTTATATTTACCAAATTCTATATGGCAGTGCTAAATTAGACTGTTCAAAATATTACAATTTTAGGTAAAATTTGAACTCAATGCGATCCAATGGGCTAAAATTGCTAAAACCTATATGCAAAACTAAAGACTAAGGACTTCTTTGTTCGTATTATTACTTATTGGAATAAACTACTGAAGATATAGTGCGTCTATTTCTAAAAAGATTAGATAGCATTATTTGTAATATTATTTAAAGAGTTCACTGTGGAAGAAATCTTGACCTTTCGATTATGTATAAGCAAAATATTCAGAATATTCGACCGTGCTATATATTCTTTTTTATTTCCTCTTATTTTATTAATTTTTGTCATATTTTCTTTTTTTTATCATTAATTTTCATTATTTATTTTAACTATTATTAATACAAGCATATGGCGTTTGCCGCTCTGCTTGGTTAATTTTCAATAAATAAATAAACTATAAGCTTACAGAAAGACATTTTTTGCGACATTTAAATTCAGACAGAAAATTCTTTCATCTATTAATTTATTCCATAGTATTTACGATTTGTTGATTTAAAAACTTTCTGAATGTACTAAAAAATTTAAAAATCATATTAAAAAAGTTTATAGGAAGAAAATTAGTGGAATTTTCGTTAAAATTGCCAAAACTGCCAAATACAATCAATCATCAGCACATTCATCAAAGAAAATTACTATAGAAAGTAAAAATAATCAAAAATATGAAAATTCAATATTTTTGATTATTTTCTATTAAAGAAAAAAGGAATTAACAATTCTTCTAAAAAAATAAACGAAAAATTAGATTATTATACGATTTTTTTCAGCAAATGTTCATATGGAAAATGAAGAATTAAAATTATAAAAAATTAAATTGCGGAATAATCAATCGTTTTTTTCATGATAAACAAACATAAATACAAATAGACAATCCTTCTCAGTCGTTCCTTATCAACTTTAACACTTTAGATTTCAACGATATGATATGATTGATATGATATAACTATTTAATCATTCTTTGGGGAAATTTTTATCAACAATTGAGATATTTCAATAAAAAATTTTGTGTAAAATAAGGAATAAAAAGGAAAACTAAGAAGTTCGCCTTTCTCTTTTTTTCGAATGACTGTTAGAAAAAATAAAAAAAGCATAAAAACATGGAAATGGATTTGAAAAATAAGAAAAGATAATAAGATAGTAATTTCAATAAAAAATATAAAGAAAAATAAGCCTCAAAATATTTGTGGAAAATGAACTTCCATAAAAAACCGATTAAAATGAATCGTGTATAATAACGAAACCAACTTTGCTATCGTTGTTTTTTGTTTTTTTGCAATTCGTACAATTTTCTTTGTGAAATTTAATGTAAAAAATCCAGCGCAAACTTCAGTCATCAACACGATGAAAATGAAATGAAAGGTAAGAAATCAAAATGGAATTAAAATATATTTAAATTCTTGACGGAATCCCACTTAACTTGTTCAGTAGTCTTAAAAGTTGCCTTTTTACATAAAAATTATAAACCAATAGACTGAGAAATTCGATGCTCTTAATTCACTTTCCTTACTTTATCTATGAAGCTGCTATAATTCTGAGATAAATTTTTGAATTTATTGAATTGAATTGAATTTTGAATTGAATTTTTAAATCTTAAAAATAAGATCGAAAAAATTGAAATTACAGTCGAAATTAATCACTTTATAGAATAATCAATTTATATGTGCGAACTGACAGAGTTAGAGGTGGGTTAAGAATTTTCCAAATTCTCAGTGTAGTAGATAAAAGAAAATCTATGGCCTACGAAATTCCAATATCTTAACGGAAAAATGGACAAATGGACAAATCAGAACAATCAAATATCACTGAAAAATGAGTTTCCCATGTCCCTTGATTGATTTACATAAATTCCGCGCATAACACTAAAGTATAATCTACCCCTGAGAAAGAAAAATATAAACGGATGTATGTTTTAATGAATTAATTTTTTGAACATGTAATCAACAGATTTACACGATTTGAATTCCAGTAATTTCAACATCACCTTGAATTTGAAGGCCTACGATTTCGTTCGGATCAGTGCGATGTGCATATGAGGCGAAATGTTTCCCATTGACGAGAATCTGAAAAAATAACCATCACACTTGAACTTGCACCACCAAGATTTAGTTTCTTTTCGATATTTTAATAAAAGCCATTGCTGAATGATACTTATTTGAAATCACTTAAGCCACTTTAAAAATTTGTTTTTTAAATCTCTTACAATCGCGGCAATTTACTGTTATTGATTTCAGTATACTGACATTCGAACAAAAAAGAAAAGAAGTAAACCTGGAAAGCATGTTGTTCGTTCTTCAGCTCGAGGTCAAAAATGCTGGCCCTAGCAAAAGGATTCATTCCTTCATATTCTTCCTTGCCCCACTGACCACTAAGCAAGGAATTACGAATAATATTCTAAAATGAAACGAATTTCTTAAGATCGATTCACATATCTTTCACACTAAATAAATAAGTTAAAAAAATAGACCAAAACAGCACAAAATTCTTATTGCGAAATTAATTTTTTAAGAGCGACCTCTTATTGTGAGAAAAATTTTAAATTCAGTAAATTCAATCAAATTCTTATTTTTTGCAAGCTTTTTTTATGAATTTTTATAAAAATTGATATAACATACTCCAGCCTTCCCACAAGCACAAATAAATTTTTTCGTTCGCGCCTGAAAATAATCAAACAGAAATCAAAAAATTTTTTTAAATGAGGAATTTATGGCATGAATAAATTGAAAATCTTATCAAGAATTTCTAAAAAAAAAACCCAGATGATGACAGCTATTTTCCTTTGGAAGACGGATAAAAAAATTCTGAACTTAAGTATTTTTCAGACGAACAAAGAATTACCTTCTCATCAAAGCGTGGATTAAGATGTAAAGCTATATCGCCATTCTTCTTGAGAAGGTTCAGATTAAAACGCTTGGCTTTCTTTTCTGGAATGCCATAAATAAGTAGAGCTTTCCCAGGCGTAAGACCATCACCAGCAATTCCAGATTCATATGGGACTGGCTGAAATGGTGTATTTTTACTGTTTAATTTTAAGTATATGATAAGTAAAGTATACCACAATTCAATTCATCTAATCGCTCATTAAAAGAAATAAGATTTCGCTCAAATGTAAGACAACTCTAATCAAAACACCCGATTGTCGCCATTCTTTTGATCTTCGAAGGATCGAAGAAAATAAAGACTAAAGGAAGAGTTGCTCACATAATATTTTCCTCCCCACTGTACGTGATTGATTTGTGCGTCTCCTTCAATTGAAAGATGGGTAACCCATTGTAATGGAACACGATGCTCGAATTCTTTTACTTCTTTCTGAAACAAAAAAAAAACTTTATGGAGTTGAAAGTAAATGGCAATTTTGAAGCAGGAGACTAATCAAAATCACGGTAAACTAGCGCTGTGAAAATTCTATCATCAGAAGGAATCTACAAGTGAAGCATTGAAAAAGCATGAGATAAAACTTAACAAAAAGTTCGCTAGGCATTGGTTTTAAATATTTGCAAGAAAATGCCAGGATGGCTCAAAGTTAGCCTTAAAAAGTAAAAAAAAATTAACCCGATCCACATATATTACGAATTTGTTGTCATGAGCTCGAATCCGAATATCAAAGGGAAATTTCTTTTTTAATGGATTTTTTTGACGCTCCTCTTTGCCCCACGCTCCTTTCGTAAATGAATTGAACACGATCTGAAAATTTTCGAACGGTTCTTTCAATTTATTAAGATGGAATTGAACGATAAAATTATTAGTAAGCAATACTTGCTTCTTCAAATATTTTATTCAAACTTTAAAAAAAATATATTCTTGCAACAACAATGATTCTTTTCGATAATGATTCATTGAAAAGGCATATAACTTTTTAGTTAAAAATAGTTAAAAATTAAAAATATGATTTTTTTAGTTAAAAATATGATTTTTTTTTTAGTTAAAATCATATTTTTCCCTACCAATTACTGGAAAAATTAGAAAATTTTGAATTGCTCAAATTGTTGTAAAAAATGAAAAAAGATTGCTAATATTGAGTGAATACAAAAATCTAAGCTTTACTTGATTAAACTTATCATTATAAATTCAATAAATAGTGATACCTCAACATATCTCCCATATGTCTTATCTTTTTATCATATCTCAACATATCTTTTTATCGCTCCCTATTATTCTAGAAAATATTTTAAACAAACTTTATTTTCATCAAATCGAATATTGATATGCAATGGAACATCATTTCCGCTGAAATCTGGTGTGTCTCTATGAAGATTGATGGCAAATCTGAAAGGATTCGATACGCATTGTAAAAAAAATGAATTTGAAAATAATAAGACTGAACTACGATTACACGTTATGGACGAGAACTGCAAATGATTTCCATTACTATCTTTTCCAACTTATATTTTCAATCTAAAAAATTACATTGAGTGCTATCAACTGGATTTAATTTATTATTATTTCATACAGTTATATTTGGGCAAAAATTAGCTGACAGATTCTTAAAACGAGGTGGATGGATCCGTAGAGAGTATCAAAATTGACAAAGTGTTTGATGCATCCTTAGCGCAATTAATATATTAAGCATAACCCCGTAACTCTGGTATAAATCAGGTGACACTGTTTATTAGTGAGCTAAATTAAATATAAGAAACATATGATTCCACTGTTAACGTTGGGCAAGAGTGGCAATAAATAAAACTTATATTATTATATTAACAATATTAACAACAAAAAATAATTAAGGATAATCGATAACAAAAAAAAAATGATAATAATAAAAATAAACACTGACAATAACTTAAATGAATTGAAGTATTAATAATAAATAATGATAATAAAATGATAAAATGATAGTAGGAAATGGTAAAAACAAAAATGACCATTATTTATCCATTATTTATTTCCTTTTCAATAACAAATAACAGAAATAAAGCAATAAACCTTTTGGCATCATCACTCGGTCGCCCTTTAATCATCAGTGTTTGTCCTGGTTCAATTTTTTCTGTTAGTTTGCTCCTATAGGGAAGTGTCTATAACAATTATATTAAAACGAACATAACTCGTACTTAATTTCGATGACTTTGAAAATATTTGTCTAAATTCGAATGATACAAATGATAGCAAATGATAAAAAAAATTAGATGAATGAGGATTTCTAAACTGGTTATTAATCCGAAAATTTGTGAAATTTATTTGATAGATTGAAGATCGCTTAAGATTTGCTAAGAATTCGAATTTTGTAATAAACATGAAAAAAAATTAATTTTTTTTAGAGAAAAACTAACGAAAATTTTATTGTCATTGCTCGCCGCCATTGTATGTTATCGCAAAAAATTCGTTTTCTTCAATTCGAGAAGACTTTTCCCTGAAAAATAATTTTTAAATGGACATTTTTCATGTTTGCAGTGAATAAATACATTCAGTGCACGTCTTTTTTCGCGGAACACAGTTGCAAAAATGAAATTAATGAACCACGAGATTTCTTGCAATTTCAGGAATAAAACATGCAAAATTATTTTCAAAATTCCTACTAAAAATCTTTTGAAAAATACTCCCAACGGAAATTTCGAAAAATAATGTAAAAATGCAAAAATAATTGTATTTAGTAGCACTGAGTTTCGTCTGACTTAGGCAAAAACAAAAGAAACTCCATTCACTCCATTTCCTATACCTTTCTTCATCAAAAGAGAATTACTTGGGGATGGAAGTGGAACAAATGGATGCACGGCATCACTAGGATTTTCGAGGATAAGTTTTTCATGCCAAATTATTGAGCGATTATTCTATTATATACAGTAGTTTTGTTTCGAAATTCCAAATTTATTGTTCATGAAGTAATGGCGAGCAATGGCGAGAAAAAAATTTTTAAGTACAAAAACACCATCGAATATATTTTACAGTTCACAACCGGAATTTTATTATTATTTCGAGAATCTTTTTAGGTAACTGAATTTCAACAGTTACAAACAACTCATTTTAAGGATATTGCTGACGAACTGCTTTTGTTTTTCATTATTTTTCGTCATAACGATTTGCCCGAATAAACGATTGTTATTTTCATCACTAATTAGTAAATATTTTTTCCAGATTTCGATTTAAAAAATTAGTTTTCCTTCTCAATTCGAGCAGTTTTATCTTATTTTAATTCCAAAGCCTATAAATAGTTAACGAAACTCATATGGATTGATTTCTATGCAACGGTAAACAAATATTTTGCGAATTTGGCTACAGAAACTAGTTGGAATATACGATCGATTTTCTTCTTCCTCGAAGAGATTCAGAACAATTCTTCTAAAAATTTGGCAAACATCTAACCAATCGACAATTTTCAAAATATGAAATGAAATTGCAAAAATTAATAAGATTTAATTTTACATGATGATATCCATAAATGCCTAAAAAAAATAGGCGCTTGGTAATCAACTGCTCGTTAGGCTCACACGTTCCTAGAATGTCCAAGAATTGTTGGCTACAGAAGGTATACGCAAGCTACAGCAGAACCTTGACGGCTGAAATCTGAACAGTAACCACTCAGCCAATATTGACATCGAGAAAACAAACGTTTTTAAAAAGAAGATCAAAAGAGAAAACGAAATTTGGAAATCTAACAAATTGTCGTCCCGATCACTCATTAAGGGAAGGTGAAGAGCACTCACCGTTGCCGGTAAAGCTCGGCTCCTCTGGCTTAGTCGGACCAGACTAATTTTTGCCATAAGGTCCTTTACTTCTGCCGAAAGCAGAAATCCATCACACGCTAACAACAAATAATATATCGATAAAAGATATAAATGAGCCAGGCCTTTAGCTAAAGTCTAAAGTTCTTCTTTATCTGAAGAAATAAATCAAAATGAACTGTTAGCTCGTTTGTATAAATACGTATATATTTAAAGCAAAAAACGAATTTGATTAATGGACAAAGTGAACTTTATTTTTATATTTATTCATAATATCTCTTCCTGCTCGAAACATAATTTACAACTTTAAATTTAAAAATTTTCAAGGAAACTTTTTTCGAGAATATTCCGGGAATATGGATTTCCCAGAAATTTTCCAACGTAAAAAATATTTTTTTCTGCCAAACCCAAACAATATTGCAAATATTCCACCGGATTTTTTGACTTTTCGACAAAAAAAATGAAAAAATCTTTCGATGGGAATTCATTTAACAAATATAAAAATTTTAAATTGAAATGATCCCATAATTAGTTGATCTTTAAAAATTGCTTACAATTTGCATATGAAAAGGAAAAAATAGATGCAAAAGCAAGCAGAGAAATGCAAAACAAGCGAACACTAAAATAAATATGGAGAAGACAAGAATGAAAGTTGATAAGACAAAACTAAGACTCATAACGAAATCCTATTAAACTCTAAAAGACAAAAATGAGGTAAAAAATTTTAAGATTCTGTATTCTCAAATTTCGGTTCACCTACACTGCCGAATAAATAAAATTTAAAAAAAAGCTAGAAGTTTTTTAAAGAAACGCTGATTATCTTATTATTCTCCTTTCATATTTGTATCCATTTATATTCATTTAATAAACCCATTTATATCCATTAATGCGAAATTTTAAAAAATCAACATAAATGCAATAAAAAATTTAATAATTAACTAAAAACTAAAAATGAAATGCAAATGCAAATGCAAAATATTTCGAAATAAAGAATCTTCTGCAAAAAAAAACCCGAAAAATATGGAATATTTGGGGATAAAACAACGAAATATTATCAGTAAATTTCATCTCAAAGAATAGCGAAAAATAAAAAAATAAAAAAATTTATCAAAATTAATGCACTTATTGCTATATTTTTTCATCATATCAAATCTGGAAGTCGAATAACTATTTCATATTAGAATTCAAATCTGAGCGGAAAGTCGTGAATAGGTGTCTGAAAAAATGCTTTTAAATAATTTGAGAGACCACAGTGGCAAAAAAACTTAAGGTGGTTCCGGTGGCATTGGTCCAACGAATGAAACTTAAGATGGTTCCGGTGGCATTGGTCCAACGAATGAAAACTAAAATAAGACAGTTCTACTTTTTTTTTTGAGTTTTGAATAAATTTGGCGATCAATTAATTGTTCAATATGGGTCAAAATAAAATCGTCTTTGCAAACTCAATTTACAAGAAAAAAGAAAACTTAGAAGAAAGCGAAATATGCGATGGAGGAAAGGGGAAAGTTACTGAAAATTTCTAAAAATCGCGAAATTCTCACTGAAAAAAAATTGAACTATTTTCAGATTATTCAAAGATTAGAATGATAAAAAAAAATGGTAACTAAAGGGGAAGAGAAATGAAGCCAGCAAAAATAAATCAAATCCATGTTTTTTAAAACAACATTTGTTTCGAACCAGAAATCGCCAAAGCAATATTTCGCCTAATGGGTACCATTTAGATTTGAACAAATACAATGAAACAAATAGCTCTAACAAAATGCCGGAATTGAATTTTATAAAATATCACTGCTAAGGAGCCATAGTGGTGGAAAATATAGATGAGTCTTCAGCAACAACGAATTTTTTAGTTTAATCCTCTCGGCTGTGGGAGACTTGAGGCTCGCGAATACGCTAGAATAATACAAATATTAACGAAACAAATAACTGAGTCTAGTCACAGTTTGGCGAGGGGTCCCGAGTCTATTTATCTTCGTCCCCTGGCGAGAGCAGTGTTCCGCGAGTGAGTGAGTCACTTGAGGGAAACTTTGCACGGTCTCCAGCATCCACCTCCATACCTCTTTTTATCCTCCATAAATGGTCCCATCAATGCGTTAACTCCTATCTTTCCAAAATTATTTCCTTTATTTCATTTATTATATTTTAAACAATTAATTTCTCTGATGCCTGCAAAATATTTATTAGACACCATAGATTACACTTCATTGATTGCCACTTTCATATATGTAAACAACTTTTAATTATTACCGATTAATCCAGTTTTGCGACCTACAAAACCTCTAATAATTTATAAAAATCGATAAAAATAATAAAGAATAATAAGAAATGATAATAAATAAATAATAATTTGTAAAAAACGAATTTTTCAACGCTTTTAGCGATTTTTAAAGAAACGCCGACAATCACCTTATCATTATCATTAGTAATTTACGGTGATGAATCGCTAATCAAGCATTCTTGATGATGAGAACTTAAATATATATCGAAAAAATAATTAAGCGAAAAGTGCTGACTACTTCTGGTAAGGCTCGCTCCTCTAGCAATTTGTACGAGTGATAAAAATACGAATGGATCTTCAGCAGGTTTTACAATGAAAAGTTTAACTCCAATCGAAGGCAGAGTCCGAACCTGCTCGAAGTGACTATCAGTAAAGCTGTTCTGCACTCAACAAATATAGAATAACTGATAAAATGTGCTAAAATATAAAAAATACGACTGAATGGAATCTGGGTTTCGTCGAAAGAAATCAATCAGCGATGGATGATTTCACCTAAAAATTTTTGAAAAAATTATCGGAATAAAAAAAAGCTTGATTTAATTATTGTCTATATTAGATCTGGGAAAATTTTCGCTGAATAGATTTGTAAAATACCACGATGAGCTCTAATTGAGTCGGATTCAGATTGGATGTGTCAACCAAATATCCACGCGGAGGGCAGCGCTCGAATATCGTTCCAAATATTGGCACTTTCACATATTTGATTTTTGCTATTGCCTTCAATTGGTAATAGTGCAGCACCTCATAAAGGCATTTTACCAGAGTACATAAGTACAGACCAATGTGGAATATATAATTAATAGATCCTTTCGAAATAAAAACTAATGAACTGTAAATAAGACGAAATGAAACCTTATCGTCTCAGATGTTGATAAAACACTAATTTAATTAATTCATTTCGGGTTAACAACGTTCCAGAATTTATTTTTATTTTTTTTTTAAATTTCCTGGATCTACTCTAATATCAAGCGGTCAAATGGAAGAAGAAACCCGGATAACCGTAGCGAGGAAACGTTCTTTTGTCTGGCGAAACTCTATGGAATTGGTGTGAACGTGGCCAATGAGGGTGAATGATATTAAGAAGCTCATCATCACTCCTGTCTAAAACGCAACTTAGGCCTGTAGAACGAATAAAATCTCATAAAATCTCATCCGTCTTCGCCCAATACCACTTATATTATGTTCTTCGCTGCCTCATTGCATTAACATATATTTCGATATTTGTTAAACCATGTGATGGATGGCGTCAAAAGTGAGGAGGACCAATTAAGAATCAAGACCTAGACTGATACAGTCAAGAAATTTTTTGAACATATGGTGGCGCAATATATGGGCTAGACGATGTAAAGAGGAATAATTGTCT